ACTCATAGTTTGAGATCAGATAGCCGTGTGTGAGGTCTATCCAGTTATCAGAGTTATTGTCCTACTAACATTCTCATTGCTGTTACTGGTGTAAACTGGATAAAAGAAGTTCAAAAAATCTAGAACTATAAAGAACTATTGAGCGCAAACTGTCAAGATCAACGGGCCCGTCCAGTTCTAATCGAAAGAAACACTTAATATTTTTTAGTCTTTCTCTCTTTCTCTATTTCTGGATAGGGGGACTCAAATGACTGGTCTGACATAGTACTGGTCACTCTTGAGTCGTAGGAGTCCACCGGCGGCGGTAGTAGTTTGCCCCCTACACCAGAAAAAAAAAATTGTGCCAACAAACAAATACCCAAATACTATTTTAGCTTTTGAAGTTCTCTAACAAATAAAAATAGACGCGAAAATCAAAAACTCTTCCAATGATAAGAACGCAAGACAACAAAACTATGTTTAGCTGTTGTGTGCAAACAAATGGACCGAAATAGATATGGAGGGGCGAAGTCCGAAGTCGAAGTGTGACACCTAAAGACATATAAATAGATAATGGGACGTATGCCGGTGTTTGTTTATTTGATAGGCGTCTCTGATGATTTTGAACTTCTGAAATTTTGGTGTGGACAACGGAAGCAATATTTACTTGATTTTTACATCATCCACAGCCTTTAACAGTCCACTGCTGGACATAGGGCTCTCCTCAGGAAGGTGGTTTTGGCCTACTATACCACGCTGTCCAGACGGGTTGGTATAGGGTTTGTTTCAAGTTTTCTTTCTCTTTGCAGTGATGTTGTCCTGCGTAGTTTGTTTGTAGTCAGTTCTTACGACACCCACGGGATGAATAAGGGTGGTGACACTCCACACTCCTGCAAACACCTCGGACACAGTCGTAAGATCCCAAACTAGACACACCCTGTACTACGGTACCCTAACTGCTGATAAACATACTCATATATCTTGAAATACATATAAATGTAGATACACTACATCCAGATGATAGTGCTCATCAGACATTTATTTGTCCTGGCTAGGAATCGAACGCACGATCTCAGGACTAAGCCTGAGATCAGGGTCGCCAACCACTAGACCACTTCTTTTATTTACATAACCATACATCACATCCATGTCAAGTAGGAGTCAATTATATCCGTGTTTCCGGTTCTAGCAGCGCGTGCTCTACTTAAAAGCTTAGATGACTGTCGTACACTGACACGAATTAAAATCGCATTTTTTCGTTTCAAACTGAAAAAAAGTTAGTCAACAAGATTTAATCTTGACCTCAATTAACGGAAAAAAAGTCAGCAAAATAACAATTCTAGCAATTAGAAACATAACGTGACGGGTAGAGGAGAAGATCCTCTATAACTCTCCAGTTCAGAGCTCACTCTCTTCCAATTAGTCTCTTCTTTGTCATCCTCTACTCCTAAAACTTTCATTTGAAATCACATTTTGCTCGTTAAGCCATAGCCTGTTGCTCCTTAATTTTTTATCAAGTACAATAAACGAATTGAATTGAATCCACTGGGCACTACTTCGTTCACTATTAGTGAACGTCGACCCTACGAATGCCCTTTGAGGCTGGGAACAGACATTAAATTATTTCGGGCAGCAGTAGTTTACTGCAATTGGGGGCATGCGGGTAATTATATATATATATATTTTAAGTGGACCCATTTAAAATAAATTAAAGAAAACCCCGACACTCATCTTGGATTTGAAATACGCATAGTGTATAGTGTTCTACTAGTCAAGCCCTTTCATTTGATACCCATATTGAGCGAGTTGTGGAAAATATGTAATCCGACATCTTGGACCACATCAAATCATCACATCAACAGCCTTTAATAATCCACTGCTGGACATAAGCCTCTCCTTAGAATGGAGGTTTTGGCCTACTACATAAGTTCAAATAGGAAGCCTTATCTGTAAGTGGGGGATCTAGTAGGTACCTCGAACATTTCAAGATTATGCAGAAAACGAAACGCCACGTCGCTTACTACTAGGCTGAGTGTTGTGTCCGATCCCCACATGGGACGACACTTTGTGTGATCCACAGATTATTGTTCTGAGTCTGGGTGTTCTTTGTGTCCGTTTCATGTATGTTTGTAAAGTCCCCCGTGACACAGGATATATTCCTAATGTGGGCGTTGTCTTTTTAAGGATTATAAATTTGAAATAATATGAATCACTTCTGTGTTTCTTCAATTCGAGTGCAAAGTCTTTGTACGTCCTAAAATTTATCTAATAATCTCAGATAATCAAGTTAGTAAGTACTTAGAATTTCTATGAACGTAGTTTTTCGCCTCATAAATGTATGTATTAAAGCCCTGAAACTGATGAAACATAATTATTATATAAACACAGGTATCTGTAAAGTCGGCTAAGTATATCCGACAAATTAGATTTGTGCCTCACAAAACCGAATCCAATTAATCGAGGTGGCGTCGCCGGGGCGAGACATTACCACTGTACTATATGGTGTTTATACTATGATTTTATTGTATAAAATGTGACGTATATTACATATTATGATCCATTACCAGTCTATAAAGGAACTACAATATAAATGTATGGTGTAGAAAGGTCGTTGGACATGGTTTAATGAAATGTTACCTAAATACAGTTTTCATAAGAAAATGAAATGACAATTTAGTTTAAATGATAATAATTTAAAATTTTGGAACTGATTCTGTTGATAAGAGGATAAATAAGGATGTAGCGTCTGATACTGAAACATTTCATAAAGGGGGACGTTCTTAATTCAGCTGTATTTTTTTATGTTTGTTGCTTCTGTGAATAATGAACCGGTTTGGAAAATTCCTTTTTATTTACCACACCAAGTGGGAAAATTAAGGAGTAAAGACTATATTGTCTATAATTTATCACTTTGTGGTAGATTTTAAAATTGAATTATTTCATTTTTAATCCGGTTAAAACTACATTTGTGAGAAAATCCAATCTTCTAAAGCTTGAAGATCACGTTTAATAGTTCTACATACAGAAATCAATACCAACATCATTCATTGTAATGCATTTGCGTTTATTGAAACTTGTTAGCTCAAGTGGTCTCAATATCGATTCAATTCAATCTTGACATGTCAACTATGGACAGCCATAAAGTAATATCCTTATATACACAATAAAATCACAAAAAAATACGCGTGAATAAAACGTTTTTGGAGTTGGAACAACATTGTTCATAACTCCATTTTGCCCAATTAAAGGTATTTGAAGTCGGTGTAACATTTAAATAAAATTAAATCCTTCATGAAAAGACTTGTGGAGGAAAAGGTTTAATGTCCCTCTAACACAAAGGAAGGATCCGCCAACCGGGCAAGGTGATACTGCCTGGCAGACGACACCCCAACCAACCGTTGGACATTTGTATATTTGCTAATGGGCTTGAGAATTATTCATATCGCAATACAAGATTAGCAGTTGCTCCGTAGTTCGGTGTTTCTTCGTTAGATGGCGCTGTAATATGTGTTTGTTTCTCTGCATGTGCAAGTCGCCAGAGATTATTTAAATAAGAGATTAGGTGTCTATCTGCTTTCCTTTTTAAGTCGGTGGTTAAAAATGTAATATGCCAATACAGCTAATTGCTCAGTGTCATTACTGTGTCGATAATAAATATCAAATATCTCTTAAAGTAAATACCTGTAGTATTTAAAGAAGTATTAGTGTTAAATCAACAGTGTAATCAATTTTAAGTATATTTATATAGTAAAACCCTTGAAATCATGAATGTGTATTCATTCAATATTCTTTAATATCGATAAGCTTTATCGTATTTTTAAAAAGGTAGGTATTATCAATCAGATTTAAACAATTTGATAAATGAAAGAATACTGCTAAGAGTACTTTGTTCATCTCAAGTGGTTTACCCAGTGTGATATGATTACCCTTCTTATTAAAATAGGTACTTACAAATAACAAAAGATCTATTGTATTATTTTTGTTTGTTTTTGTTTGTATTGATCTTATACATAATTATAAATAAATAATTCAATAAATTATTTCGAAATTCATTGGTTAATGGATATTGAAAAGTATAAGTAGGTAGGTAATATAATCCGTAATATTATATAATCCGATCCGTGTGGTGACGGATTAAGAATGCAGAGTGTCACCACCGCTATTCATCCGACTAAGGGAGCAAAACTACGTAGGATAACAGCACTGCAAAGAGTAGGGAAACCTTGATACAAACTATATAAAAACTCGTCTGGCCAGCGTGGTATACTATATTAGGTTAAAACCTCCTTTCCAAAAAGAAGCCTATGTCCAGCAGTGGACCATTAAAGGCTGATGATGAGGTAATAGATAAACAAAAGAAAAGAAAAAAAAACCTTGGGGTCAGTCATGCTTTAGCCCAAATCGGGTTTGCTGACGAGCTGTTCAGTGGACCACTTTTTTACTTTTGAAATTTGATTCGACCTTAAAGCGTGGTTGTTTAGTTTTACTAAATTATAATTTATAATTCAACGTCCTTATTGTCTCTGTCATCTCACTAAGTAATTAATGGGGTTATAAATTTAAATTTAAGTACTTAGCGAGTCAAGTTAGTATACTTATAAGTATTGCTATTATTATTCAACAGGCGCTAATGAATAATTTTAGATTAAGACGAATTTAGTTACTAATCAATTGGGAATTTTGAAATATAGTTACAAAATTCTCACATAAAAATAAGAGTAAATTAAACAAAAAAAAAAATAACTAATCAAGATAATATCTTGTTCGACAGAGGCCTAAAATTAATGATACTTTAAGGATTAAACCTTTGATGTTGATTGTCCAGATCTTTTCTAAAATGCATAAAAAACGTCGTTTGCATTTACATGAACTTAATTTTTATCAAGCTATCTCAACTAATTGTGAACTATGAGTATGACGCTCTAAAATTTACACTGTACTTAAAAACTTGAAGATAGAAGACCAAAAAATTTACCTAATTGTGATTATAATGTTTACCATTTTTCCTTACTTGATTCCAGGTTACGGCTGTTTCCAATGGATGCTGCTCATGTCATGTGGTGCGATCTACGCTGTCTGTGCGCTCAGCACCACCACACTCAGTTTCGTGTTGCCAGCTGCTGAAAAAGACTTCAACCTGACCTCCAGTGACAAAGGCAGGCTAACTGCTACACCACTCATTGGTAAGAGAGTTCTCTGGTTTCAGGAATTCGTAAGTTCTTAATGCTCCCAGTTTAAGTTTAACTCATAACATTTGCTGAAAGTCTTCTCCTAAATAGTTGCTGACAGTAAAATAAATAAAAGACAACTAAAAGTTCTTAACCTGTTGGCAATAGAATATTCGTAGCTTCTGCCTTCTGTCCGCCGCACGTCATGGGTAGGGCAGGTAAACCTAAATAATGTTTTTTTCAAAACTTTATTTTTCCATGTTATCATTAATATTAAAAAAATACAGATAGTAGTCTTAGGGCCTCTTAGCTAAGCCGTGGGTGGGCTAAAAGACAAACGGACATGAGGAAACTATAAAGATTAGGACTGCGGAACCCCTAAAACTTACTATTATCTAATTAAGAGACAAATCGTCATTGGTACTAAATTCACACAGAAATTCTAAATTCTTAATAAATCTGCCAAGATGATCAGATGTCGTTTTTTGTCAGCGATCCAACTTCAGTGCTAGACAGTGACGATTGTTCCTTAAAATTCTTTAAACAGAAATGGGGTTCAAAGTTTCTTACAAAGAATTCTGATTTATTTTTAAATACTTGTAAGCGTATCTGCTATTTTTGAGCTTCTGAAGGTTAGGCACATTTTGTTATTACTAATCTAACTCTTCTTCCTCTGAACCTTTGTCCCAAATTAGGTTGGGGTCGGCATTAAGTCTACTACGGTATAGTAGGCCACGGTATACGGTATACGGTATAGTGGTACGGTACAGCGTGGTATAGTAGGCCAAAACCTCCTTTCTAAGGAGAGGCTTATGTCCGGCAGTGGACTATTAAAGGCTGTTGATGATGATGATGACGATTTTGATTGCCATCAGAGCTCTACAACCCAAGTACTAGGCGATTTCGAAGTTCTGTAAAAATACTGTTGTTGGAATTTTTAGGGATCCAACTATCCGTAACAGATGATCCTATGCCAACTGGGTACTTTTCTATCTCAGCCGGCTTAAATTTTACTCTTCTACTCTGAAAAAATATCCGAGTATTATCACTTCAATCACCGTCTAACAAAATGTATAAACAATCAATAAGTTATGCTGCTGCAGGATCCTTGATGTTTGTAGCACCAATACAATCCAGAAATTCATATGAAACTTGATTTCTGAAAATGTGTTTCTTTATTTGTTCCAGGTATGTGCGTAGGCTCCTACTTCTGGGGTAACCTGGCCGATGCAAGAGGTCGTAAGAAGGCCATCATCGGAGCCCTGCTCTTGGACGCGACGGCTGCGTTCCTCTCCTCTGTAGTTCAGTCATTCCACGCTTTCTTAGCTTGCAGGTATCTGAAATTAATATGAATTGATAAATATATATTTTGTAATAAACGTGGACGACTCAGCAAGAATTACCCGCCACATATGTCTTAATTTGCAAAATATTTGATAAAAAAAGTATATGCGGAAAACCTTATAAATCAAGTAATCAACTATGGAGATCTACTTTTGTTGAAACGGTATTTAGTTGCCGTGCATAGTAAAATTACGTATAGTGACGGATTAAGAATACAGATTGTCACTATCCTACCCCTTTTACGACATGACTAAGGTTGATCATGATGATGATAATGGCTCACAGTAAAATTGGTTCATAAATGTGTTGACCTTAACCATACTATAACCATTGAACCATAGCTTAAATCGATTTAACGACAACCGTTGGGGAAAACGAGTTCTTGAGACCGCGTCTCGGCAAACGTAGTGTAGGACGCCCACAGGCCAGGTGGAGTTACGATTTGCGCAAGATAGCTGGCAGGAGCTGGATGTGAGAAGAACAAAATCGATCTAAGTGGCGTGCAATAGGAGAGGCCTATGTCCAGCAGTGGACTGCGATAGGCTGATGACGATGATGAAATCGATTTAAGTGTGGATGCTAAGATTAATCTTGATTTTGATATTAATTTGACTGATCTGTTGGTCTAATGGGTAGTGACCCTGACTGCTGAGCCAGAAGTTGTGGTTTTGATTCGTACCCTTGACGTATAACTATATGATGAGCATAATCATTTGTTTTGTTTGGTTGAGATTTGTCTATGATATGTGTGTATTTGCCTATGAAATATAAAAGTACAAGTATGTTTATCAGCAGTCGGTTACCATACTACAGATTCTGCCTAGTTTGGGATCAGATGAATGTGTGTAATACGTGTCAGAAAAATTCAAACATGGAAATCGAAGATAAAAGGACATCTAAGATGAACTAAGAGAAAAATTGTGGCGTTTTGTTGGGAGGAAAAAGGTGGATGATGGATTGAAGACTGCAGGGGCTCTCTCACACACAGGTGTGGTCGGGAAATTTGCTTGCTACCAATATCAACATCTTCTAGTTCATAGTTTCATAAATCTATTATTAAAATGAATATGTCTTTATTATTTATTTGTCCCATGCTTGACGTAACTATTCTTTGTAGACTTGTGTCTTTTCAGGTTCTTTTCTGGTTTCGGCATCATCGGTGCCACCGGCCTTATCTTCCCCTACTTTGGGGATTTCCTCTCGCTCCGGCACAGAGATGTCATGTTATGCAGACTCGAGGTCTTCTGGACTTTTGGCACAATTTTGTTGCCAGGTAAGAAATTAAATAGATACTTCACTGTTCAGAAATATAATTTTTTGATGCAAGGTATTCCTGTTATTGGCATCATCAACAGATTATGATAACTTAAAACGCCATCGCCAATTTGTTACAAAACTTTCCTTAACTTATTTAAATCTTGATTTAAGTTACTATGCCACTGCTTTACCTCTTTCACGAGTTACACACACTAATAAGCAATCATTTCCTTTTTATAATAATCACCTTACTCGTATGTCTGTTATTATTGGTTACAGAAAAAAAAGATTATCGTGGATTCTAAAATATAAATTCGCTAATTTATATTCTAGAATCCGAGTGATTCGAGCTTTGTTTAGTTGGGGTTTTGATAATACTGTTTTATCAAAAATTTTAACATCATTCAAAATACAAACTGACAACTCCATCCACATCCGACATCATAATTCTCTCTGATCTAAATAATTTACATTTAATATTGTTGAGTGTCGTTTAATGTATCGTGTCGCATAAATCACTAATAAAACATTATTGACACCGCGATTTGTCTCACAAACAAACAAGTATCTGTATGTCACCGAAATTAGGAAGGTCGACCGGAATATAATTGGCAATGCGCACGAAACTGGCGGTTGCCAATTTATTTAATAACTAGCTATCGCTTGCGTGATATTATTTCTTATTTCGTGTTTTTAACTTTGAAAATGGCTAACATCCATACAACCATTCGCCCTTTATTTTGCGTTTTTAATTACGCGTCAAATTTGAAAATTTAAAATTTCAATGCATCTTTATGGATCTTATTGACTGAATAAAAGTTTTGTGTTTTTTTGTGGTTAATTAGCACTATAGAATCTTATTGAAACACTTAAAACTTGGGAACTATCGTCGTCATTTAATCTTATTCTATTAGATATGATACATACCATTATTGCCAGATATTCAGTTAAAAATGCCTCGTGACGTCCTTACTATTTTATTGTCACTCAAAATCGAATCAAATGGAGTTCGTCGAATTTGATTTGTACTAATTGCGAATAATATAAAAATCTTTTTTTTTTAGATCTGATTCAGTATAGAGTACCAGCCTTTTGAAATTCCTACCTCATTAACTGCATAATAATCCAGATTAATGCTTCTGATTAATACCTGTTGTGTTTTTAATTTAACAGCATACAGTTAATGGAACTCTTTAACTTAAAGAGTATTTATATCAATCTAATTTCTTTTCAGGCATCGCATTCCTCATAATCCCGAATGCAGCGTTCAACTGGGCTGAAGGACCAAATTTCTACTACACGTCATGGAGAGTTTTCGTAGCTGCTTGTGGAATACCCTCACTTATTGTAGTGCTTCTGCTTATCCCGTTCCCTGAAAGCCCAAGATATTTGCTATACGCCAATAGGGGTGAGCAGGCGCTGCAAGTGCTGCAGAGGATATTCGTTGTCAACACCAAGTTGCATGAGAAAGACTTTCCGGTTAGTGGTGTAAATGGCATATTCTGTAGAGGTGTCATTGTGAATACTTAGGATTCAGAAGTAAAAGATTGCTTTTTGTGCGGGGTATTTGTGAAAGGCTGTTTGTCAGAAGAGGATCATATGGCTGAAGTTAAAGTGATTATGATTCATGTTTAATATATTTTTCTAGTATCAAATATTTCGAAACTTGGTAATAGGAAAAATACATAACTTAATTTAATAAAAGTATCAACGACTTCAATGAGTCACATCATAATAAACTGAATTCCTTACTTTGATTAATTTTGCACCATTATAGATGGGAATTTTTCTTTAAATTGAAATAATTGGGACTTAATTAACAAATTTAAAAAAGACAAATACATCCTTCTTGATTTCAAGTCAGTTAAAAATAACTTGGATTAAAACTTAAGTTACATAGTTAGTTGCATATGGTAACTAGCATTAATCACATTAGACCACATTCTGTACATCAAAACTTGGTCTAAAAAGCGAAATGGAATTTTCGACCATTAAATTTTTAGTAATGTGGGCTGGCCATATTAGCCGCAGAACCGACAACCGTTGGGTAAGCGAGTGCAGACCGTGTCTTATCAAACGTAGTATAGGACGCCCACAGGCCAGGTGGAGTGATGATTTGCTCAAGAATGCGAGAAGCCGAGGATCAATCTACGTGACGTGTAATTGGAGAGGCCTATGTCCAGCAATGGGCTACTATAGAGTAATGATGATGATAATTAAATTTTAATTTTGTACATTTTCAGGTGGAATCAATGATAAGTGCTGGAGACGGTGACGAAGAAGAGATAGTATCAGCAGATAACAACGGAAATGAAACAAAGAGTCCTTTAACATGGCGTCAACGTTGGGACAACTTTTGGGTGAGGAAGAAGGTGCTGGTTAACCCACCCTACATTGGATTGTTAGCACTCTGCTGTTTTGTGGACTTTGGGCTTATGTTCAGGTAATTTTAGATAGATACTCTTTATTGCGCACCATGAATAGGAGACATATGCATAGCATTGAATACAAAAAACACAGTAGTACAATAACAGTCAGCCTTATTGCACAATACGATCTCTTACAGGCAATCTTCAGAAGGACTGTACAGTATAGTAAAACGTGGTTTGTGATGCATGTTACTAGTTTTGAAGTCTTAAAAGTTGTGTTATTTATTAACTCATCAAAGAATTTAAAAAGATGGTGATTCTGATACTGTTAAAGCAATAGTGTAACCTGTATTTGTTTACCTGACTTTTTATAATTTGAAATCTCATTTGCATAGTATACGTAATATGATAACTAGGACAGGAATGCTGATACATCTAAATTTGAGCATTATGAACTCAGGTGGAGAATTTAATTGCAGAAAAAATAAGAATAAAGAATTGAAGATGAAAAAAGCAGGAGTCCCTTGTGTTTTAGCATGAGCACCAAAAGTAATAAATAAATTTGGCATTACTTCCAGTTACTATACATTAATGATGTGGTTCCCGGATCTCTTCGAGCGATTTAGTCAGTTCACCGAATATTTCGGCACTACATCTGCAGGAGTTTGCGAGGTATCCCTCGCTCTCGCTAACCATACGTCTGAAGAAGTCCTCATTAGTACTGTAAGTCAAATACTTTATTCATTTGTAGAATGTTTTAGAAGCACCAGTGTCAAAAGCATTTGGTTACCCAAGTATATTCAGTACTATTAAAATTTTCAACTTTTTTTCTGCTCTTGTACACTCCTAAATGAGCTTACTACATAAATAAAATATGAGTTAAATGCAATAGGGGGAATGGGGAGAGGCTGATATGATTAGTTTCGTACAATTGATGCCACTGGTGTTGTAAGTTTAAATATATAACGTGTTAGAGATTTTTCTGAATACATAGGGTGCAAACGAGCAGACGAGACCTCTGATGGTAAGTGTCTACCGTTACCCATGGACACCTGCGACTAAAGAGACACAAGTACGATGCGGTTTGAGTGCCTTCCACCTCCAGAATTAGTGGGAGGTTTGGTTGGGCCTCCGATAACCTGACTCACTCTAAAAGCAATGAGAGAATTACTTAAGACCAGTTTTCTTTGACACAGGGTGTGTCCATGAAAATTCGACACTAGCTGGTACTTGTCTTTGGCATTCATATAAAAAAAACTATTCTTTTAAAAGTTATGACCTTTTAAAGCTAGTTTCCTATTGTCGTGGAAATCCTGTAGAAACTATTAAAACAATTGTGAAAATGTAAATATTCAAGGTACCCTTCTTTTTTCAGCATAAAGCGGGCACTCTATACGACACAGTCTACACCCACACTTTAATAGTCGCTCTTAGCTGTGTACCCACAGCCCTCAGTGTTGGTATCACTATCAACATGGTGGGCAAGAAACTCATGCTTGGTAAGTACTTTAACTCTAGTCATGTCATAATACAAATCAGAAAGAAAAAAAGGCAGTTAATCAGAAACCAATACAACATCCCTGATTTTCTCATCACATTAGTAATTACACAGTATTATATCAATGTAAATTTAAAAAGAATAAAACCTGTTTGTTTTAATATTGAATAATATAATAGTGGTTAGTTAGTCTCTAGTCTATAATCTTATACATATGCAGCCTTTTACGAAAATCTTTAAATTATTATTAATTAATAGGAAGTGTAGGTAAAGATTAATTATGTCTCATGAACAACCTAATATTTTATTGCTACGAAAGATCTTAGCAGTGCAAAAAGAAAAGGCCCTAGAATAGTACCCTGAAGGACACCCACATCACACATCAACAGCCTTTAATAGTCCACTGCTGGACATAGGCCTCTCCTTAGAAAGGAGGTTTTGGCCTACTATACCATGCTGGCCAGACGGGCTGGTATAGGGTTTGTGTCAAGTTTGCCTTCTTTTTGCATTGCTGGTGTCCTGCGTTGTTTTGCGCCCTTAGTCAGCTCTTACGACACCCACTGGATGAATTGGGGTAGTGACATTCCTTATTATTAATCCCACTCACGACAATTGTAAATCTTGAAGATAACTAACTCTGTGTCATCTCCTTTTCAGTAATGATGTTAATAAGTTCTGGTCTAGCGGCACTCGGGTTGAATCTAGTTCGATCTTCCATAGAAAACTTGATCTTGTCATGCGTGTTTGAGTCTATAGTAAGCTGCACTGAAGCTGTTCTTTTCTGCGTTATCTGCGAAATATTCCCGACTAAAGTTGCGTAAGTATATTTAAAATCAAATCGCTTTTTGTTTTTCATTAGTTGTTCTTTTATTACTTAATACTGTTGCTGCTGTTACAAGAATCACTTTTTTAAGTTTTGTATTTTAAAGGTTTCAATTCTATTGCTAAGCCTACTCTGTACATGAAGTTTTTAACTGGGTTATAATCTTGAAAATTATGATTAAGAATTTGCAATTCCCACACTAGCTGATGTTATTTTAACTTCATGTTCTTCAAAAGCCGTTAATTAATTATAATAATGCAACATGCTAACATGCTTTATATTAAGATGTTGGTATCATTGTGAGACTCCACACAGTCTGATTCAAGTCTTTATTTAAAAATATTATTGGATTTTAACCAATTTAAATATTGAGTGATCACCACAATTGATTAACAAACCTAAGATTAACAAAACTTATAAGTTGTCTTGTGTACACAGCGCCACGGCTATGGCGGTCACAGTGATGTGTGGACGAATCGGCGCAATTGTGGGCAACGTTATCTTCGGCGCGCTCGTCGACGAATACTGCATCGTGCCTATCTACATGTTTGGAACTTTACTTATAAGTATGTATATGGAACGTTACTTTTCATTGTTTAATTATTATTACTATTAATGTGGAGGAACGTGTGGCATATTCCTCCAACACGAAGGTCAAGTGATCATACGGGACTGTTTGATGTTGGGTAGTTGCATAAATGTGTGAGAACTGTTAATATCGCGGTACAGGATTGGTAGTTAGTCCGTGGTTCATTGAGTCTTCACGAGATGGCACTGTATTAATTTTGTTTGTTCGTAAAATGTTATCTTGATGTTCGTCGAAAGCGTTTGGGTTAAGTCCTCTGTGTTTTGATACTAGTTTGGCTTCTCTCTATATTTTCTTCATTTATATTTTATTTATTTGTTACAGCGAGCGGTCTTCTATGTATAATACTCCCAAAGAGCACGCGGCCAGATCGGCACCCGGAGTGATATATTAGATTGTCGTGTTATATTTTTATATTAATAAAATTATTATAATCCACCTGTAAATGTGTACTTTACTGGAAATATGAAAGAAATGGCGATCGTTACAATAAAACCTTACTATGGAAACTGGACACACCTAACTTACTCTTATTTCTAAATCCATAAAATATATGATAGCAAAATTACAACCCGGTAGAGAATAAATAATTGTTTAAGCTTTGAATCTTGCAGTAGAATCGAAGATCTAAGTGATTACCAAATTTATTAACAGAATCCTGCGACGTAATGATGAAGACGATTCTCTAATAAGCAGTTCTACATCAAATAAAAATGTACCCTGGCCATCAAATAAAGTATTGTTATTGTATCATTCACATAACAACTTCCAAGATATGGCCTAAATATCGCTCTTAAAATCTGTTTTTAATTATTTATTTTAGACCTTTAAGTGACGCACGGAGACAGTGGAACTTGTTGATGTCGTCGACACAATCACTCAGTTTCTCTAAATTCGAGCCAATACTCTCATACCATTAAAGTGTTGCAAAACCATTTTAAGTAACCGCGTACAAAAAATTTTGCATGCACTATGCACCTGATTTAAAACGTGTGTTGATGGATTCAGAATACAGAATGTCACCACCCCTATTCATCCCGTGGGTGTCGTAAGAGCCGACTGAGGGAGCAAACCAAGCAGGGTAACAGCACTGCAAAGAGAAGGAAAACTTGACACAAACCTATACCAACCCGTCTGGCCTCAAGGTATAGTAGTCTTAAACCTCCTTTCTAAGGAGAGGCCTGTGGAGATGATGAAGAGTTGAAGCCGCACCAGAACCCGCTTCCGGAGCAGCATGCTCAAAACCGTTTGATAACAACGTTTTGCACACTAGCGCAATCAGAGAGTAGTAACGCTCTTCGAACTAGGCCTGGCCCGCATACACGTTGTCACGCGTCTCCAAGGTTGTGTTGATCTCCATGTATATAACGATGTGGCTTTCATGCTACTACATTTAATAATTAAGTTTTGAATGAAAAATGTATCAAGGTAAGCCAAAAATGCGATAGTGATAATAAAAAGGGTCGATTACGTAAGCTTATATCCAGCTGTGGACAATTCTTAAGAGCTGTTGATGATGATGTAAGCAGTATTTGAATAAACGTAGATCAATATGCATAGCATGACGTTAAATTTTAATTAATCAAAAACGGTAATAGAAAGACATTACTTTCTAAAACACTATTTTGAAATACTTGAGCAGTGAAATTACTGGTAATTTAAAGAATCCGTTTAAGATACGAAATCATTTTTTTTTCATTAAAACTTGTCAATACGCGGCGGGGGAACGCTTGCGGCTTTCCCCGCGGTATGAACTACTTAAGCGTGGCGTCTATTTAGGAGGACCTCGAAATAATATGGTCCGGGTGCCGTACTATACGGCACCAGAGACCAGCCGTCGAGGTGGTTTTCAGTGGAAACACCACATACTTCTTGGCCCCTTGTCGCTGAGGAGCCGAAAATCCTGGGAGTTCTATCTATCGTACAGCAAGAGTACAAAATGAATTAGACTAACTTTATATATATATGATAACTTTCAGTAATTATATTTATTACAAGTTGCTTACATTTAGTTTACATAGGTAACAAGATAATCAAAATAATCTATTTTCTTGCAATCTTATCTCAAAATAGCTTTAGAGTATTACTATGAACATTTGTTTAAATTAATAACAATGTTTGTTTTATCTAACACTCTCTTTCTGAGTAACTAATCATCATCTTCACTATCAACAGCCTTAAGTAGTCCTCTGGGACAATAGGCCTCTCCTTAGGAGGTGGTGGCCTATTATACCATACTGGCCAGACGGGTTGGTATGTCAAGTTTTCCTTCTCTTTGCAGTGCTGTTGTCCTGCGTAGTTTGGTCCCTTAGTCACCACACGGATAAGCAATAAATAAATATGTCAAAACCTTCTAGGAGGTTTCCTATAACTAAAATAAGAAGGAGAAAGTTGCTCAGAGAGAACACTAGTCGCTTATGATACATAACATCTGACATTTCACCTTGGTAATCGGATTACTCCAGCAATGCATTCCTTTTTCTGAAATCTCTCCCACATATTATAGGAAAGTGAGTGAAAGATGTTACATATTAAAAGCTGCTGGTTTAAAACGCACGAGAACCTCATAAGATGAATTACAAATCTATTCGACTCGTCCTTTTAATACAACCAAGCCATGGAACATTCTTTACAAAAAACTACTTAAGGGTTACAATTGAAAGAACTTACCAGACGGCTCTGTTTTACTTTTTTTATGATAGAGGGGTTTAACGAGCAGTCAGGTCACCTGATGGAAAGTGAACGCAAGAACGCCTGCAAATCAGGAGTCACAAACGCGTTGCCTGCCTTTGAGGAAGGAGGAGGCGTTCGTTTCTTGAATGTTTGAAGGACGTATCGGACTGGAAATACCGCGGGGATAGTTTGTTCTATAGATTGGTTGTGCGAGGCATAAAGTGTCCTGAAAGCACACAGTGGTGGAGTGCCAATGATCCAAATGGTGGAGATGAAAAAATTGCCGTGTGGAGCGATGGCAGAAAGTTACGGCCGGTAATTAGTCTGAACAATTCCATGATATATACGATGGAGAATGCAGAGTGAATCTACATCTCGGATCGGCGATCATCTGGCTATCGACGATTCAAGTCGCTTTCCGTTGGATGCGGTCTAGCAGTCCTTGGAGATGAGAGCAGTATTCCATATATGTCCGGACTAGCGTCTTATTGAGTTAAAGGCAGTAGACCGGAGTGAAATACTGCCTCGATCTGTTCAACACACCTTCTTAGAGGCTAATTTGACTTTACTCTCTAAGTGACCCCGAAACTTGACTTCGCTTGATATGTCCTCCGTATGATTCCTGGCTGAGGCAGTTAGGGAGGTGCTTTCAAACTGATGTGATACTGAGTTTGCACAAAGGGCTCACAACGGGTCCGTCTAGTCTGTTCGTTTGCCCCCTCTCTCATAGAAAAATAGTTGTGTATTTTAAAAGTCTACCTTTACTTTTCTTTTGCATTTACTAATTACCTCCATAGGAAATTGCAAGTCAAGATATTCAATTTTATAAGTTAACTAAGATACCTAGTTTAGACAACATTCGAGATGATGATTACTTTTTGATATCTTAATTATCTCGTTATTTACCTCCATTCCTTTATATTAACATTATTAATATTACTAGGTATCATAATAAAGTGTCCATGATACCTTCGTACGACTTCAAACAGACTATAAGGTAACTATTGCGATTATTATATAGTTATAAATCTAAATATAATAATATAATCCGTGTGGTGATGGGTTAAGAATATGGAGTGTCACCAAACCTGTTTATCCCGTGGGTTTCGTAATAGTCGACTAAGGGAGCAAACTACTTAGGACAACAGCACTCCAAACTGGCACTTGACTGCACGGATGGCGTAGTGGTTTAAGCGGTCGCCTCGCCGCTTCCTACTGCGCCGAGTGTTGTGGGTTTAAACCCCACATGAGACGACACTTTGTGTGATCCACAAATTGTTTTTCTGAGTCTGGGTGTTCTTTGTGTCCGTTTCATGTATGTTTGTAAAGTCCCCCGCGACACAGGATATATTCCTAATGCGGGAGATGTCTTTTTAAAAAAAACATAAAAAAACAAACAGAAAACTAAAACTTGAAACAACCAATATCAATCCGTCTGACCAGCGTGACCATACCTACTTTCTAAGGAAAACCCTATGTCCAGCAGTGGACTACTGCAGGCTTTTTATGATGATGAGATTATAATTTAGCCTATAATATTGAGGGTCGCACTTATTTAGTTTTGTCAATTATTTTTTTTAGATACTTTGTTATTATTGCTTGAAGTTTTTATTATCGCATTTGAGAGAGCAAACCAGCAGATGGGTAACTTGAAGGTTACCGCCGACATTGGACATCTGCACCTCAAGAGTCAGAGTCCTCCTTTTTTTTTTTATTTCCGTGCGGAAATCCCCTATCGGTGGCATGTCAGACACAAACCGACTAAAACCGTCTAGCCGGGGAACCAGGTATACCCTAGAAAGGAAGTCCCTGGTGCCCCGAGATACCTCGGGTCATCTACAGACGAGTAGACGACCTCCCCCCCCCCCCCGTGTGGGAACCCCATGTTCCCTGTGCTCCCTGGAAGCGAGCGCGCTTCACAACGCGCTCGCCCCCACCCCGGCCTGCTTCTGCTAGGGTGACAGATGGCCTCACCTGTCACCCCCAGGCCTGCGCTTATGGAGGACTGAGGTCGTCCTGCGACCTCCGGCGCCTGAGTCGCCTGCGGTACCTGGCCCGTTCCCGGGCCTGGCGGGCCGGAAGAGTCCTAAACCTCTCCCGGTTCCGCTCCGCCGTCTCCTTCGCGAGCATAACTTGCTCGCAGAAGGAGACGACTCTTAAAACTAGAGGTAGGGGCTTGAGGCAGGAATTATAAATATTTAGTTCCAGTATTATAATATTCTTTGTTTTATATATAAGACACACACGCACAGAAGTATTTTTGTTTGAATTTCGATTGAAAAACGATGTCCCGAGACCGTGGTGAATGAGCTGCATAAATTAAGCATAATGATCTTTTTGTTTTTCATTACGGAAGTGCCAAAACACTTGTTAAAATTTAAATAGTGCGTTTCCAGTATCTTGATTACACTTGAATATTTCTGTTTATTCCTCCGATAACCTCATTTATTCGGTGAAAACGAAACGAAATACCTTCTTCTTTTGGTTGTCTGTGATGCCATGGTGTCAAACATGGCGTTCCTCTTGCGAGTAGAAATTGAGTTATAACTCCTGTAAAGTTAAGATAAAATCTGTATGCATGTCTTTAATCCAAATACATAAAGGGATTTTTTTTTTTTACAAAAACGAAGCGTTTATACTTTTATGCATTTAATCAATTCGTTTATTAATGGACACAGTCTTTGAACAATAAGCGAAATGTACAATGACACAACGTAAACAGCGCACTAGTATTCATCTTCGTTCTCGAGAAATATTCTCGTCTCTAAAATGAATAGCAAGTGCTAATCATTTGAAAATTGAAGTAAATTCAATATTGACACTTATTACAGGAGGTACCCTAATTAACTTACAAAATATAATTCTTAAAAACATTAAATAGCAAAAACCCTGTAGAATATTAGTAATATCTACAAGGGATTTTATTTCTCTAATTTTCAAAAAAAAAATTGAAAATTAATCATGGTATCTGAGTGTTATAACATACAGCTTGCTAGTTTTAATGCGAAAGCTCAAAAACATAATATTAATGAAGAGAAAATATATGAGTACGAAGACGCCATTGATTTAACTGGTAAGTACATTGATGCTGATGTCATAAGTTTTCATGTTCGATCTTATTCTTGAACTCTGGTGTTGGTAGTTCAATTTGCATGAATTTATTTTTTATTAGTGAATGACAATACTACATAGCTAGAGTATATCATTTTCTCAATTCTAGTTTTTAATTATTTTTTTCATCATTATCATCAGCCTATCGCAGTCCACTTGGACGTCCACAGGCCAGGTGGAGGAACGATTTGCGCAAGATGGCTGGCAGGAGCTGGATGCGAGAAGCCCAAAATCGATCTAAGTGGCTTGCAATGGGAGAGGCCTATGTCTAGCAGTGGACTGCGATTATTTGTTTGTTGCAGTAAATTTGTCATTAATTCATTTGCTACTTTTAAACTTTCCTATTTGAACATGTCGATTATTTAACGAAATTTAAGCTCAAATTCAAAATGTATGCCAAGTCTGAATTAAAAATCAAGTACGTTTCACTCACTCATCTCATGCCACCGTGGAATACCAGTAGTAGGCCAAAAGTTCCTTCCTAAGAAGAGGTCTATGTCCAGCAGTGGACTATTAAAGTGACGATGATGATGACTCATCTCATATTAAACTGAAAGCCGATTTCCTATTGTATACTTCTTATGTTTTTATATCTTTTATTTTTCACACCTTTAGCTTTGGTTTTCATTAAGGGATGCAGCTTGTCTAAGAACACTCATTTTAACGAGTGCCATATTTAAAAACTGAACGTTCATGTTAGACTTTTTGTTCACTAAATTATTGTAACCGTTTTCATTATTCCAGCTTCATCGAATCTTGTGTGTTGATGAAACTAAACTGATCTGTTAACCCAACTCTGGCATAGCGCTTTATTTCTTTTACTTTATTCTATGCAGCTAATTAGTCAACGTGTTTCCTGCAAAAGGCTATTCTTTTTTAGGGCTAGAGCGTTCTTTGTGTCCGTTTCATGTATGTTTGTAAAGTCCCTCGCGACACAGGATTTATTCCTAGTGCGGGAGTTGTTTTTTTTAGCAAAAAAAAAATCTATAGATTATATCATCATCATCATCAGCCTATCGCCGTCTACTGCTGAACGAAGGCCTCCACCTATTTTGACTTATCACCTTCTAAACTGTTTGCGTAATTTTGATTTTTATTCCTGGGGCACTAAGGTACTATGTTGTATGCCACTTATCCATATCTCTTATTGTTTGCCGTGTCTGTTTTCACTTAAATGTTCTTTACTTTCGTATATTTCTCTATCTATAATAGTCTTATATTTTCGTGCGGTTTGTCAATATTGTATCTGTTTATTACAATTACATTTACAATTACAATTACATTTACAATTACAATTACATTTACAATTACAATTACTAATAAACCATTAAACGTAATATGCGTTTACGGCGCAACCAATGGCGACATTTGAACTTACACTTGAAAGTAATGCAGGTCTGATAACTCTGAAATCTTATACCCATTAGGACTTTGAACTTTTTACTTTGATTATACAAATACAAGCACTAAACAAGAAGATTATTTTTCAGGTAACGGGTGGTATAATCGTGTTTTACTACTGGCTCTTAGTACTGGTTTGTTAGGTATGGGTATTGATGTCTTTGGTTTTTCAATCATCGTCACTGGCTGCGCATGCGACTTTCAATTGGAATTATGGCAGAAGAGTGTCATGTTGTCCATGCCTTTTATTGGTAAGATTTTATTGACTGAAATATAGTTTTTGTACTTTTTTTTTCATGTATAATAATACAAAGTCATGCTTTTTAAGACATAGATAAGTTAATTTGCATTTGTTCACGGTCGTACAAACAAAAGTGTGATTTGTATATTTCAAACTTTAAATGCTTTTAAAATTCTTGCTTCATTAACATTTCAGATTATTTCATGAAACTTTATTAAAATAGTTTTTGTCTTCAAACCAACAGTTGACACGCGGAACTTTGTGTTCATCTCTTACAGGAAATCATTTTTTTTCATTTTTGCAACATTTATTATTGATGATGACGGGCCTGTTGGTCTAGTGGTTAGTGGCCCTGACTGCTAAGCCGGAGGTCGTGGGTTCGATTCCCACCCAGGACAAATATTCTGTGATGAGCACGGTCATTTGTTCTGTGTCTGGGTGTAATTTATCTATAATATGTATGTATTTAAAAATATATAAGTATGTTTATCAACAGTCTGGTTACCATAGCACAGGCTCTGCGTAGTTTGGGATCAGACGACCCTGTGTGAGATGTGTGAGGTCATTATTATTTATTTTATTATATTGATCGTAGCGTGTAATACGTAGCCCATAAATGGGTAATCTAACACAAAATGAATTTTTCTTTAAAAGCTTTTTAATATTCGTGTAAATTTCATCCGTTCTGTTTTCCAGGTCCAGTTTTGATGGCAATACCTTGGGGTTATATATCAGACACGCAGGGTAGGAGGAGATCTTTACTTATTGCATTATGGGGCGCTTTCCTATCGTCTTTCATAAGCGCATTCTCTTTCAACTGGGTATTGTTGGCGGTACTTAAGGTGTTTAGTTCCATGTTGTAAGTATTGATAGTAATTTGGTTGGTGGATAATACCATGTGATATTAAGTCCGCTTCGTGCAAATAGTAATGCAGAAAGTGTAAAAAAAAGTATAATGTCAGTTACTTTTATTTTGTGTGGAATTGGGGCAAACTAGCAGACGGGTAACCTGAAGTTAAGTGCCTACCGTCGTCCATAAACACATGCAATTCAAAAGATATGAGTTTTTTTTTTTTAAAGGCTTTGGTTTTAATTGAGGGATTCAGTCTAAGTCTAAGAACCCTTGTTTTAACGAGTGCTCATATTGAAATACTGATCGTTCATCTTAGACTTTTTGCGGAGGAGCAACACGGCTATTCCTTGTAGCAGTTAGAATCGTCCGATGTTTCGATTAGGCCAGGTTCATTGAATCTCGTGTGTTGATGAAACTAACGACTTTTGGTAACTTGTTTGTTACCTAACTTTGGCAAAGCGCTTTATTTCTTTGTTACAAGTATTTTGCCGATTTTTGAGTGCCTCTCCCCTTAGAATCACGGGTTAGGTCTCCGGTAACCACACTTAATTAGTGAAAATCAATGAATGATTTTGTTGCTTAACAGTGGTTTTCCATGAGACCATGCACAGAACAGAGTCTGTCAGACCAGTCGAGCCGAGTCTTTTGTGCCGAAGCATGGCTCTCCCACGGTACAAGAAGGTTTGGTTGTAAAAAGCTCAGATTCTTCAACTGAGTAATCTGGGCTATTTTATACTTTATTCAGCATCAATAGCCGTTAATAGTCCACTGCTGGACATAGGCCTTTTCTTAGAAAGTACGTTTTGGCTTAACATACCACGCTGGCCCGACGGGTTTTGTATACGACTTGTGTCAAGTTTTCCTTCTTTTTGCAGTGAATAGGGGTGGTGAAATTTCGTATTCCTAATCGGTCACTACACGGATACAGTGTCTTATAACAACTTAATGAAAACAGAAATGTGCTGGGTTATTTCATGTGGCGCCTTAAGTTTTCGCTCTTTGTTAATAATATTAAAAATAGTTCTAGTGCTGTTCAGTCAGGAGCATACGCGTTGCTCGGTGAATGCTGTTCAAGGAAAGTGAGAGACTTCTATATGCTCATCATGACTAGTGTACTGATGTTATTCATGATGTCTTACATCGGTGAGTGCCAAAGTCAAAATATCTTTATTTGAAATCGTTTCTTACGCAATGACTCGTCGTAGATAACACACACAACAGCAATGATCTGTTTTGTCCAATGTTTAGCAAAACTAGTTCCTTAGTGTAACATGAAAAAATTACGGAAATATTTGAAGATGTTCATCTTTGAAATTGAAGCACTCTTTTTCTTTACATAAGAGCGAAGAGGCATAAATGGCGAACTAAGAGAGTTGCAGCATATTTTATACGACATGAGTTAGTTTCTGATCTTTATAACGGCATTGATTGAATAAGAATACAATTCTTCTTCTCAAAGAACCAATTGCTGTACACCGATTCTCTATGAAGCTATTGTAATTGTAATACTTATTCTGAATTCAGCTTCCTATCTATCATTACACTACTCATACATAATTTTTACGTCGCTCCTTGGAAACGGGCGGTTGTAGATCGGCACAGGCATATCATAGACTTTGTATAAGTTTATTTTTTGTTAAATTTATTTGCTTACTATTTGACAAAACAGAGATTGTTGCTTTTGTGTGTGTTGATCTATGACTTTAGAGTCTACATAAAAGACGATTTCAAACAATTTAAAAGAAAAATGAAATAAAGAGAGTTTGAGTTTGCTCTATGAGTCAATACTTTCAGTTCTTGTTTACTGTACTCTATGATATTTTCAGTGCCCGCTTACTTCATTCTACAATTCAACTTTGCCTTAAACCTTGGTTTAATTACGTTTACACCCTGGAGACTGTTAACTATTGTGATGGCTTTTCCGTTAGTGATTAGTGTACTGTTGTTGCACTCCTGTTATGAAAGTCCAAAGTTCCTACTTAACGCTGGCCAAGAACAAAAGGCCTTGGAGTATTTAAGAAAAATATGGATCAAGAATGGTGGAAAAGACGAAGAATATCCTGTAGGTGAAAATAATTTTGGGTAGAAATGGTAATTTTGCTAATAAAACCAAACTAAATGATGTTAATTTTTTTAAGGTACATCGTGTTGTTTTAAAAGACGATTCAAAAGCCAGGGAAAGGGACATCCATATAATACAATCATTGTGGCAACAGACAACACCATTATTCAAGACGCCATTGGTTTGGAAAACGTTGAATTTAGTCTTTATAACTGCTGTTATTTATAGCATGTAAGTAAGCTTAAGTAAGATTGTGTAAGAAAACAATTTTAAATGCTTCTCAGAACATACCGTTACGAACCTTCCTGAGTGTTCATTAACTACGAGAATAGCGCGCATATCCTAGAACCAACTAATGTTATTGTTTTATGTCGCCTTTTGCCTTATTTTATTTGTAGTTTTATAATGGTTGGCCACCATCCATCCAAATGTATTTATTCACTCACATGAAATCAAAAATTAATGTAAAGGGATACGAAAACAGCATTAGATGAGGAAACTAGAGTCAGGGATACAAAAAAATCTCATATTCGACAAAAGGCCAAGGTCTCTGGGTATCCGTATGCCCCGGCTTGTGATAGAAGATACCACTAGGATAGACATTAATTGGGACAAAGCTTATTAATTGGGCACTAAAACAAAATCGTAATTTATAAAGTAGCTCAAAAACTATTAACATGTGATTCTCTTTACCGATAAACCCGGTATAGGTACCAAGACATTTTTTTGTTAAAAATTCTGGTACATATTATATAGGAACGGTCAGAAAAGAAGAAATCAGAAGAATGTAAAAGAGTTATTGTAATAATGGGTGAAATGAGAACTTAAAGAAATTGATGGAAAGCTATGCTGATGATGTGGTCACACAAAAACATAATATGCCGTTGCTGAAATTTGCTTGTAATAATTTTAGAAACAACTGCTGGGTGATGTGGTTGCCAGCTGTTGTGGAGGCATTCAGTTCTGCTATTAGTTTAAGTGAAACTGTTGGATCCAAAAGCTTATGCAACATTATTTCCAGCCTATCAACCATCAACGCCACAGAAATTGTTGATGAGGTAAGTAACAAATCATTTAATGATGTGATGATGATGATGAATCTCTACAATAAATAAAATAATATAATAAATAAAATGAGACTCAAATTGCTCGCATTGAAGAATGGGCGAATCACAGTAGTCTAATCAGAAACTTGATGTAAGTACAATATACCAAACCATCCTGGTTTGGTAACGCAAAGTACAGACATGGGGAATTGTAAAAGCAAAACGTAAAATATAAATTTTCTTATTTTCTCGCTCTCACTCACTCTTATTTCAGTTCAGGTTTAAAGTCAGAGACAAGTATGTTCAAATCGTTCTTTGTTTCAGACTACCTGCACACATGCAATTCAAACCAGCACTTTACTATCCGGTGTCACCCATGGAGTGGTATTTGCAGGCATCACACTTATAGTATCCAAACTGGGTTCCAGAAAGAAGTTTCTGTTGATTACATTCCTCGTTGTCCCGATGCTGTCAAGCATAGGAGCTGTGTTCAATGAGAACAACCTAGCCAGTCTTATACTCTTCGTTGGCATGACCATGACCAACTTGTGCATGGGAGTACTGTTTGCCTATTATGTAGAGATGTATCCTACATCATACAGGTGAACTAGATCGTTGGGTTTAGTTTGTATTTAGATAGATATTATCATCATCATCATCAACAGCCATTACTAGTCCACTGCTGAACATAGGCTTCTCATTAGAAAGGAGGGTTTGGCCAACGCTAGCCAGACGGGTTGGTAGGGTTTGTTTCAAGCTTTTCCTTCTCTTTGCAGTGATGTTGTCCTGCGTAGTTTGTTCCCTTGGTCGAATCTTACGACATCCACGGGATGAATAGGGGTGATGATATTCCATATTGTACTCTTTATTGTACACTTAAGATCATACAAATGTGCATATATTGGAATAGTGTTAAAATCAAGGTACAATTGGCGGCATTATCATGATCTTAAATATATTTATTAAGGCAATTTAATTTTATTTAATACACTCAGGTTTCAACTTTGAGACTGGGCAAGGGAATAAAAAGGAACTGAACCAATCCTTTAACAAATAATTATAACTAAAAATCATATTTATTCACCCAAAAACAAAGAATGAATTTATTTACATCTAAAGGCATCAATTGTTGAAGTGCTCAAATTAATCGGTTACTGTTTTTTTTTATTCTAAACTATGTGAAACATTTTTTGTTATTTCTAATTAATGCTTCTTCTACAATTTTTTATTTTTCACATCGCATCATATAGTTAAGGTATGACAATGCTGGGTGTTCTTTGTGTCCTCTTCATGTATGTTTGTAAAGTCCCCCGCGACACAGTATATACTGACTCCTAATGCGGTATTTGTCTTTAAAAAAAACAAACAAACGTAGGAGAACAAAATAGACTTTACAAACAAAAAATGCGAAGAAAACACCTTTGAGCATTTTAACGGTTACAAATACTTGGAAAATAAACAGCAAAACATAATGTTGAGGAAATGAAAGAAAAGTTCTAAAAGCTAACACGAAACAGAATGCAGTGCTTTAAAAATGCATTAATAATTGCAGTTATGGTTTAATGTGTTTTAATATTTTTAGAGGTATGGCAGCGTGCTTGGGCGTGATGACGGCTAGAATCAGCGGTGTTGCTGGCGTCAACTTGCTCGGTTCCAATGTCATGGCTCACTGCGCTATTACTTTCTATGCCACGGCTGCTATTCTTCTGGGTAAGAGATATTGTGAAAAGTGTATTGATTCTGTTTAAATGAGCATTTAAATACATATGAATGAGTAACTCATTTAGTTCTCTTACCAACCACCAAACCAACTCTCAGTAAAAAGCTTATCGAGCCCATCCAGTATATCTAGCTCAATGGTTCAGTTGGTTGGTCCCACAATGAATTCAATGCCTTATATAGCTTGTTAAGCTTATTATATTATTATTTATTTATTTATTTATACATCATGCACTTCTGGTGCATTGGCGGACTTAATGCCTAAGGCATTCTCTACAAGTCAACCTTTGGATAATGCAGAGAGAACAGAAAGTAGGTACATTTTGGTTAAATTGCATGGTAGTTTGGTTATTTCATTTTTACATCTACCTACATTATATCCTGTCCTTATGTCAAGTCTCATTTGCAAATGACCTAAAGAGGGGTACTGCCGGTAAGATGAGTCGTGACCTAGTGAGCTAGAGCTGAGTTGTTGAGACATTTGTGGTTAGTGAGTGAGTAGTAGGCCAAAACCTCCTTTCTAAGGAGAGGCTTGTGTCCAACAGTCGACCAATAGAGGCTGTTGATGATGATGACGAGTGAGTAAAAAATTATATTGGTGGCAAGTTTGTATAGTTTTAGATCATTTTCTCAGGCGCTATACAACTATACTCTGCAGAAAATTTAAAGAGAAATGTCCACGTGTTCAAATAATATCAGAAAAACATACGATTTTATATAAATTTATGTGATGCTATTGTTTCAGCTGGAATCGTAGTGGCTTTCTACTTTCTACCGCCAGATAGAGCGCCTAAGCAGTAAATAAAAGTTATTTGGAATACACCAGACTGTTTATTTCATCCTGTAACAAATTGTCACGCTTAATTAATTTTTTAGGCTTAAAGTAGGCTTTCGTGTCAGTAGCGTCAGTGGCACTGCCTTAATGACACGATGATGCAGATTATTGCACTATGGGAACGACTGACGGGGAAGTCGGAAGGGAACGACATTCGAGCGCAGCAACACTGACGCCGTGTCGCTGCACAGTGACGTTACACGCGTCATTGCCGTGCCGTTCGTGGTGTCGCCGACGCCCACGTTAATTTTGAGGTTAATTTATATAAAATGGCATCTATTGACAAGTTTACATAAGAAGAAGATGAAATATATACATTAGTGTCTCGGCATCCATTGCTTTATAATTTAGGCATGGAAGACTATAAAAATATGCAAAAGAAAGACAAGATAAGGTTTGAAAAAAGGTCATCATCTTTTTCCTCTTCTATAATCAGTTAAAGTAGAACCATAATGAAATACTTTTAAGACCCATCGAGATGTGGTGGGCGCGGCAAAGTCGTTAAGACTGATTGACGCCTGTCGTTCCCATCCAAAGTCACTAAGGCGTCACTGATACCAGTTACTTGTACACAGTGATGCTTGCTTCGAAAGCCTACCTTTATGGGCTAAACGAGCGTACAGGTAACCTGATGGTAAGTGACTACTGTCGCCCATCGACACCTGCAACTGACGCCTGCGCCTCTTTAAGTACCATCACCCAGAATTAGGAGGAGGAGTAGGTTTGGGTTTCGGCAACCTAACTTACTCGGTGAAATGCAAGTTAATTGGTGATAAAGTTAAATAGACTTTGAGGAGTTGTGGCTATTGATGTTCCTGTCTTAATATATATATAATGATCCAATCCAACCACCATTGATATACGACACCCTGGCCTCTTCGACCTTCACTTCAAGCAGTCTTCCCCTCCCTAAAATGCCTTACCCAAAACTAACCAACACATTACCTACCTATTTCCTTTGTTCTGTCTACAAAGGATTAAACTCCAAAGGGAGCGTTGCTGAAACTCTAGAAACTGCCGAAAATAAAATAAAAATAATGATGAAATTTTCAGAAAAAATATTGGCTTTAATTTGTTACAAAGTTTTACTTAATTGAAGAATGATTAGAAATGATTTATAGTCGTCACACAATATGAAAATCAACAAAGCGCCTTAATGAAAGGACGTTGCAAAATAACGATACGTGAATTGTACTGTGAAGACGAAACACTTCTATCGGTTGCTGGGTGGTAGTACATCTCTGTTCCTCCACCTTAGCCAGGGGAGAAACTGTGCGTGAACCAGGATAGGTCTTATCAGGTATACTACTTTATGTGAATTCTTCCACTAAGCTAATCCAGCATGAGTGGTAAATTATACATTGATAATAAAATATTGCAAATCCACACGAATATTATAAAGAAAGTTTTTGAGTTTGAATGTTAAGGGTAATCTCAGGAGCTACTGGTTCGAATTGAAAAAAACTTATAGTGTTAGATAGCCCTTTTATCGAGGAAGGATATAGGCTGTATAACATCATGCTAAAACCAAGACTGCACGGATGGCGTAGTGGTTTAAGCGGTCGCCACGCCGTTCACTACTACGCTGAGTGTTCCGCCGATCCCCACATGGGACGACAGTTTGTGTGATCCACAAATTGTTGTTCTGAGTCTGGGTGTTCTTTGTGTCCGTTTCATGTATGTTTGTAAATTCCCCCGCGACACAGGATATTTTACTAATGCGGGAGTTGTCTTTTTTAGATAAATAAAAAGAAAAAAAAAATAGGAGCCAAGAGCCAAGTAAGGTAGAGTAAGGAGGAAAATTTATTCCTTTTGAGAGAAGCAGACGAATTCGCTCGGGTCGGCTAGTACATAATATCTTGAAACTTTAACTGCTTAAGTAATAGAGAAGTAAAATGAACACATATAGTCATGAGATATATATTATATTCCCAGGGCAGACGCCAACTACAAATTTAGTCTTAATTACACAATGGGAAAAGTTGCCTAATCTCTCTCTAATCGATGTAAGAAAGTATTAGAAGGAGGTAGTAATGTCGTCCGTGTGGTGACTGATTAAGAATACAGAGTGTCACCACCCCTATTCATACCGTAGGTGTCGTAAGAGGCGACTAAGGGAGAAAACTACGCAGGACAACCACACTGCAGAGAGAAGGAAAACTTGAAACAAACCCTATACCAACCCGTCTGGCCAGCGTGGTATAGTAGGCCAAAACCTCCTTTCTAAGGGGAGGCCTATGTCCAGCAGTGGACTATTAAAGGCTGTTTATGATTGATGATGATGATGTAGTAATGTACTTTATGTTTGGTGAATAATGCAAAATGTCTTTCACACAGGTGGTAGTCAATATTACGAGATTATTATTCAACAAAATTGCCCAGAATATGAATCATTCCAAAGAACATAAATCCCATCGTACTATGTTTATACGATGACATAAGAACAAAAGTGTTTTGATGGGAGTTTTTATAAAGTTCTGGTATACTACTGTAAACATATGATCATGTCCTAGTGCTATTTACGTAATAAGTGTAATAAAGGGCTGCACAGATGTCGTTGTGGTTTAAGCGGTCACCTCGCCATTCCCTATTGCGTTGAGTGTTATGGGTTCTGGATCCACAATTTTTTTTCTTCTGAATCTAGGTCTTCTTCGTATCCGTTTCATAAACGTTTGTACAGTCTGCCGAGACTTAGAATATATTTAAATATGTAGCGCGGGAGGTGTACTTCAAAAAAAAATTGGTGTTATGCCTGAATTCAACCAGACCAGCCTAAAGATAGTTGGAAGTGCATGGCGGTTATACTTAGCCTGGTTTAGTTTAGCTTTAGATAGATAGATATCTAGATAATACTTTATTTGTACACCAGGGTTTTAGAGACATTATAAAGTAATTAACAACATATGTAATGTATAAGGTATAGGCGGCCTTATCGCTTAGAGCAATTTCTTCCAGGCAACCTTTGCACGAACTGGTTTCATTTTGAACTGGAGAAAGGTATACAGAAATTAGAGAAATAAATAAGGCCTTAACCTATGAAATATATATCATACATAAATCTTACTAATCTATATTTATACATTAATACCATACATACGTTACATACACTAATCTCCAACTATGAGAGACAGATAATGCTCATACAGCATAGTCTTGAAGTTGGTTACGGATTGCGCACGTCATATAGAAGGCAAGGCAACGCAAGGCATTCCATAAACGTACAGCTTCTACGGAAAATGATTTTGTTTAGAAATTGGTAGAATGTGTTGGTATTTCCAATTTCAGGCTTTCAGAGGACCTCAGGTATTTCATTTGTTTGTCATGAAGAAACTTAAGTTCTTTGAGGTAAACAGGAGTTAATAGATTAAACAGAATATTATACAGAAGCGTAAGGATACGAGTATTTCGGCGAAGGCGGATTGGATGCCACCTGAGCTGTTTGTGGTAATGGGAAACATGATCATATTTGCGAATTACAAATATGAATCGTAAGCAAAATAATTTTGGAGACGCTCAAGTTTATCAAGATGTGCTTTGGTGATATAGCTAGCTAACGTCGGTATACTCAAGAATCGGCAGAAAGAGCGTTTGTGAAAGTGCAGTTTTAGTAGCAGTCGGAAGAAAGTTTTTTTTTATGTTAGAGGGGGCAGACGAGCAGACGGGTCACCTGATGGAAAGTGACTATCGCCGCCCATGAACGTCTGCAACTCAGGAGTCACAAACGCTTTGCCCGCCTTTTAGGAAGAATACGCTCTTTTCTTGAAGGTTTGAAGGTCATATCGGTCCGGAAATACCGCAGACGATAACCCGTTCCACAGATTGGTTGTTCGGGGCAAAAAGTGTCTCGAAAAGCGCACAGTAATGCAGCGCCAACTATCCAGGTAATGAGGATGACAATTATGCCGTGTGGAACGATGGCGAAAATTTTGCGGATTAGTCCGAACAATTCCTCGGAGCAATCTCCATGATATATGCGATAGAGAATCCAGAGTGAAGCCACATCTTTACGTTAATAAGTTTCATAACTTTCGCAAAGACGGGATCTTTGCGAAAGTTATGAAACTTTAGTTTAGTTATGAAACATTAGTTAACTAAAATGCTAAATTATGTAATTGGTTACACATGTAAGTAAGTAAATAGTGTTACGTGTTGGGGTTCGTTGATTTCGAATGAAATGCCTTCTGACGACTTAAATTAGACTTAGAGACTTTATGACAAAACTTAATGATAGTCCGGAATGATCCGGATTACTCTTCTGCTGTAAGGATACTCCGTATTCTTAATCCGTTACCACACCGATAATCGACAACTTCTATTGTATATCAAGTAACTTAAAAGAAAAACAAAAGGAAAATTTAAAAAAAAATATGAAAAATAATCCAAATGTTCTTAAATCTTTTTGTGACGCAGAGACGAAGATTATCCACCTCGTCTGGAGGTATCCGAGAGGATATCCGCTCAAAAAGAAGGGCCGCTTAATCAGTCTTTTCACATGAGCGCTGCACAGCTCCAGTGAAGTTTACCTTACGTTATATTCCGTATGACGATTGTACTATAAAGCGTTATCAATAAGCAATCGTGCTTTTTACGAGCGAATGTAAAATGCATGTTCATGAGTAGTAAAAGATTTTTTTCGCAAAACATTATTGTATGACTGTTTTTTTTTACTATTTACACCGAAACCCATTGTTTCTAGTACATTTTCATCAACATCATCACTCTTCTGTTCGTTTCTTAATTTTATTGTCACGGTTTGTTTATATTTAACCGTGGGAGAGGTACGAATGGGCCAGCTCGACCGGAATGTTACTTCAGCCTCACAGAAAACCGCTTTTGAGTAATTTTTTGTTGCTTTTTACAGAGTAAGTGATTTGACCGGTAGTCCCCTCTCTCCTCCTAATTCTTGTGATTCTTGCGTTGCAAGAGTCCATGGCGGCGTTAGTCACTTACCATCAGGTGAAACGTG